GAGATGAAGTGCGTGTGTGCGTGGACTTGATCAAACTGAACAAGTCTGTGAAAAGAGAGAAACACATGTTGCCATCAGTTGAGCACACACTAGAACAACTGGAGGGTGCAAAGGTGTTCTCAAAACTCGATGATAACTCAGGGTTCTGGCAAATACCTTTGTCCAAGCAGTCAGCTCTTCTCACAACCTTCATTACACCATTCGGAAGGTACTGTTTCAATAGACTCTGTTTTGGCATATCCTCAGCCCCTGAACATTTTCAAAAACAAATGTCTCAGCTTTTGGAGGGGCTGGACGGAGTTGTCTGCCAGATGGATGACATTCTGGTTTATGTGGACACACAAACCCAGCACGACAAGAGACTGGTTGCAGTCCTTGAACGGCTCACAAAAGCAGGGGTGACATTGAAAAGCGAGAAATGTGAGTTTGCAAAGACCTCAATCAAGTTCCTAGGACAGATCCTTGACACTACAGGAGTCAAAGCAGACCCAGAAAAAGTGAAAGCGGTCAGCAACATGGAGGCACCCACCGATGTGGGTGGAGTGAGACGATTCCTAGGAATGGTTAATCATCTAGGCAAGTACCTTCCCCACTTAGCAGAGAAAACACAGCCATTGAGAGAAATGCTCAGTACCAAAAACATGTGGTGTTGGAGTGAGGCTCAACAAACAGCGTTTGACAACATTAAGGCAGAACGGAGTAAACCACTAAACTTAGCACTCTACAACCCCAAGGCACAAACAACAGTATCAGCTGATGCATCCTCTCATGGACTAGGAGCGGTGCTACTTCAGAAACAAGAGGATGACGCTACCAACCCAGTGGCCTTCGCTTCAAGAGCATTAACCCCCACAGAACAAAGGTATGCTCAAATAGAGAAGGAAGCGTTAGCCATAACCTGGGCATGCGAGCGATTCTCTGATTTTCTTATAGGCATTGAGTTCCATGTTGAGACAGGTCACAAGCCTTTAGTACCACTTTTGGGCTCCAAGAACTTAGACGAACTGCCACCACGAGTTCAAAGACTGAGACTGAGATTAATGGGATACTCTTTCACCATCTCACATGTCCCGGGCAAACACATAGCAACTGCAGACGTGCTGTCCAGAGCACCAGAAAGGATGGGTTTGTGACGAGACATTAGGCGCCGAAATAGACCTGTATGCACATCAGGTGATTTCAGGCCTTCCTGCAACTGAGAAGAGACTACAGGAAATAAGAGAGCAGCAAGACAAAGACGAAACACTAAAACAAATCAAACTGTACTGCAAGAACGGCTGGCCGGACAAACTCAAAATTCCAGGTCCGTGTTTCCCATTTCACCAGCATGCAGGAGACCTGACTGTCGAAAATGATCTTCTCCTAAAAGGTATGCGTATAGTTATTCCAAAGAGATTACAGAAAGATGTTTTGACACGACTGCACACAGGTCACCAGGGCATTGTGAAGTCCAGGGAGCGAGCCAAGCAGTCGGTATGGTGGCCAGGACTGAGCTCTCAACTACAACAGCTGGTAGCAGATTGTGAGGCGTGTGCAAAGGTAAGACAGCAATGCCAACTGTGTTTCCTACACGGCCGTGGGAGTTAGTTGGTGCTGATCTTTTTGAGTGGAGTAACAGCCAGTATTTGGTTGCAGTGGACTATTTCTCACGATACATAGAAATAGCTAAGCTGTCCTCTACCACATCAGCAGCAGTGATTGACCATTTAAAGTCCATATTCGCACGCCATGGCATACCAACAGAGTTAAGGTCGGATAATGGCCCACAATTCTCCTCAGAACACTTTCATAAGTTTGCTTCAGAGTGGGGCTTTGCCAGCCCAAGATTTCCTCAGAGCAATGGCGAGGCTGAACGAGCAGTGAGAACGGTAAAGAGCCTTCTACAGAAAGAAGGAGACCCATATCTCGCTCTTATGGTATATCGCGCCACACCACTTGCCAATGGACATAGCCCTGCAGAGCTTCTGATGGGGAAGAAACTTCGTACCACAGTTCCCGTACTTCCATCCTGCCTCAACCCAGGCTGGACAAATATCGCTAAACTGAGAGAGAGAGAAGGGAAGGAGAGAGAAAAACAGTGGATATGGTTCAACAACTGACACAGAGCACAAGACCTCACTGGACTACACCCAGGAGATCAAGTTTGGATCACAGACATGAAAACAAATGGGACTATATCAGGCAGAGCAGATACGCCACGGCCTTACCTTGTTGAGACCCCAAAGGGGCTTCTACGTCGAAACAGGAGCCATCTCATCACCCTAAAAGGGACCAAGACTGAACCAACTGAACAACAAGTCCCTGTCCTGCCAGAGAACAGCAGCAGCCCTGTTTCAAACCAGGTTCAGTAGTCTCTTGTACCACCAAGTAACCAGACTACTGAAAGAAGATATCCTACAAGAGAAAGAGACCCACCGAGGTACATTAAGGGCTTTGATTTAGGTAGAAGGTACTCTCAAGCACCTGAGTGACCAGCCCGGGGCAGAATAATCCCCTCAATCAGTTGAAGGACGGGGTTGTCTACCCCCCCCCCCCCCCCCCCCCCCTCCCCTTCATAGTTAGAATAAGTTCACACAGTTAAAGAAAATAATAGTTATAAGTAAAAGCAACAAATGTTTGTCACAGATTTGAGTTAAGATAACAGCTTTGGAGTACCCAGCTACAAGTTAAGTTGCAGTAATTTTTGGATTGACATAAAAGTGGATAATACAGAAACATCATGGTTTACAATGTACTCAGAAGGGGGGATGTTATGGTAAGGACTAATTCAATCATTCATGCAGCACCCCCTGGTGGTTGTGCCATGTGTGTGTTGGGTTGTTGCAGCTTGGCAATAAATGGAGTCGCTACGTTAAGACAGAGCTGGCCCAGTCTCGTTAATGTTGCTGCCATTGTAAACCGGAGGGCTACCAAAACATTTGCAACGGAGGTTTAACAATATCTATATACAAAACAAAGGGAGCTATCTACAAAAGGGGAGAATGAAAAACGCCAACCCAGAAGGGGTTGGGGAGTAAATAACCGAGAATTCTAAAGATATATACAAAAGGGGAGATCCAAAGTCTAAGTCAAAAAGCGGTCCGAAGTCTACAAGCCAAATTATCAAATCCTAATTTATCCAAATCCGAAATCCAAAACCGAGAGCACCGAAGACTAACCATTACCACGAGTTTTTAACCAAAAGTAAATGAGGAGAAGAGAATAGTATAAACTCGTTCGAATTTACACTATCCTGGACCTTCTCGTTGAACTGGAGGCTGGGAGCAGCTTTTAACAGCTGCCAAGTGATTGCCCAATTACACACAGCTGAGCACTGGGAGACAGGCGAGCCAGAAACCACTGAGGCCATCTTGTGGCCGAAAAGGGGCACGGCACGTAACAGTGTGTGTGTGTGTGTGTGTGTGTGTGTGTGTGTGTGTGTGTGTGTGTGTGTCTGTGTGTGTGTGTGTGTGTTTGTGTGTGTCATGGAAAGAGATTTGTTAGCTTGTAAAATTGGTGATTAAGTCTACAAATCTGATGTGTCATGTATGATGTCACAGCAAATGTGTCATGCATGATGTCACAGCAGATGTGTCATGTATGATGTCACAGCAGATGTGTCATGCATGATGTCACAGCAGATGTGTCATGCATGATGTCACAGCAGATGTGTCATGTATGATGTCACAGCAGATGTGTCATGGATGATGTCACAGCAGATGTGTCATGGATGATGTCACAGCAGATGTGTCATGCATGATGTCACAGCAGATGTGTCATGCATGATGTCACAGCAGATGTGTCATGTATGACATCACAGCAGATGCGTCATGTATGACATCACAGCAGATGTGTCATGCATGATGTCACAGCAGATGTGTCATGCATGATGTCACAGCAGATGTGTCATGTATGATGTCACAGCAGATGTGTCATGGATGATGTCACAGCAGATGTGTCATGCATGATGTCACAGCAGATGTGTCATGCATGATGTCACAGCAGATGTGTCATGCATGATGTCACAGCAGATGTGTCATGCATGATGTCACAGCAGATGTGTCATGCATGATGTCACAGCAGATGTGTCATGGATGATGTCACAGCAGATGTGTCATGCATGATGTCACAGCAGATGTGTCATGCATGATGTCACAGCAGATGCGTCATGTATGACATCACAGCAGATGCGTCATGTATGACATCACAGCAGATGCGTCATGTATGACATCACAGCAGAAACGTTTCTCCCCCAGCGTAGCTGCTACTCACCACATGACCACATTTATGGTGGTTTTCTCCACGTTTAACACTCCTTCTTTCATCCTGGAAGAAGGATGTGGAGCTCTGTGAACTCAGACATTTTGGTTCTCTGTGTCTCTGGGTCAATGACGACAGTATGGTGAGACGTATATTTGAAGTCCTACACGTCTTTTTACAAAAAAGCTAAAATAACTGTTGCTGCTTTCTTGACATCAAAATATCTCTTTAAAATTCACAGACATCAAATGTGAAATCCATGGCCCATATCAAACAGGATCAGATGGGCGTGGCTTAGGCTCCCTATGAACATGCGAAAGCTCAGGAATAAGAAAAAGAATTCTTCCAGCTTGCTGACTGCGACCCTCATCACTTCATCACAGCTGCAGCTTTATATTAGTCAGAATGGATCCGTGGATTATAAAACTTTTACTGAGACCTGAATTGTGGGAGAGAACCACAACGTCTACATCTGTTGAACGAGCCAGAGCCTTGCTGATCATTCTGACATGATTTCAGCCTTTTTACTTTTACTGGCTGAAAACGAGGTTGACAACTCCACAGAGCAGAGTCCACGGGGCCAGCTGAGTAAGGGAATGACGGCATCCTGAGGATCACAGACACACCATTATCAGTAGAGCCTGACATCACTCAGGCCCCCACAGCACACACACACACACACACACACACACACACACACACACACACACACACACACACACACACACACACACACACACACACACACACTGCTCAGCCTATTGTCTACACTAGGGCAGCCTGGACAGTGTCACTGATCCGTGTTCTACCCGTGGTCCTACGCTGCGGTGGTGAGCTGCGTTTTCAACCAGAAGATGCTGAGTGATGACAGATGACAGGAGGGAGCTGCCTGACATGGGAAGGTTGTAGAGTAGTCACGACAAGACTACATCTGAGGAGTTTTGACCTCCAAACTCAACTGGAACCATCCAGTTATACCGTAACACCTGCTGAGGAGCTCCCGGACTCGGACAACTCTCCCTTCAAGCAGAACTCACTCAAGCAGAGTGGACCAGAAGCAACTGAATGGCCATTTTCATAGGCAGTAACTCAGGTTTGGATGAGGCTCACCACAAGCTGTGAGGATCTGATTGAGTTGGACTGATTTTTGTAAAGGTGAATATTTCCGCCCCATCCGGTTTTGGGTTCATGGAGTGAGAACCGGCCATGCCTGAGATCCAGACCTTCTATTTCACCAGGCCCCCGAGCCTCTATCTGGACCCAGCACTGATGCAGCTACACATCCTGGAGGATCAAGTAGAGTTCTTGTGGTTCAGAGAGCCGCGACACTCCTTGGTCTGCTACTGCGCCTCGGTGGCCCTCATAGTGGGGTTGGGGCTTGGTGGCGTAGGCCTGCTGTCCACCACCACCAACCTGTCTGGGGAATGGCGTCTTGGCGTGGGCACCACCCTCTGCCTCCTGGCCCTGGCTGTGTTACTCAAGCAGCTCCTCAGCTCTGCAATCCAGGACATGAACTGCGTGCATAGTCGACATCGGATCGAGCAGCTGAAGAGCGGTGGGAGGGCTGACCCGGCGCTGATCCTGGCCGTGGGTCTGGCAGTGAGTCTGTGTGGGACGGTGCTGCTCTGTGTGGGCTCAGTGGGCCGCCAGGGGCCCGACAACAGAGACATGCTGGTGTTTGGTATGGTGCTCATGGCTGCTGGTGCAGGCATGGCTCTGGCTGTAGGAGGATACGCTGTAGTGGTCCATCTCAGGAGAAGGGAGCAGAGGAGGAGGAGGAGGAGGAGGGTGAGGATGGGCAGAGCCAGGAGGCTGGGGAGCCAGGCGGTCCAAGTGTTCAGTGTTCCAGCTGAACAGATGAGTCAGAGCAGGACAGAAGCATCCACCAGCAGGACCAGTCTCATCTGAACGGACTGAAGGGAAAACCGTCAGATTGAGAGCCGAAGAGAATGGAATAAAGAACAGAATCTCATCTAAACTCTCATATTTCATCAGCGCTGATCCCTGATCAGCTGGCCATCTTATGCTGAGTTACATGCTGTTTGAGAACATTCAGTTAATTATTATAACACTTTATTTGTAAAAAACTAATGAAATAAAAACATAACAATGACCTGCTGCTGAGCCAGAGAACCAAATCAAATCCAAACAGCCACGGACAAGACCTTCAGGTCAGGTATTCGAGTCTCGATGGGCCACATTAAAAGTTTTCACTGAGTCAAAGGTCTGTTTGTCGATCAGCGCACCGTCATTAAATCAGCTTCAACACAACTTGCTTTGTTCAGTCAGAACAGCAACAAGCATGTAATGATATTTCCATTCAGTAAACAACTCATCCACTGCTGAGGACATGCATCCTGCATGCTTTATTCCATCACAGAGCTGTTTGTCAGACCACCAGCCAGCACTTCTGCTGCTCTTGCTGCTGTCGATTCTCAGACAGGGGCTTGCTAAAAGGGAAATTCCACCCCTAATCTGGTCTATTTCTGTGTTCCCCAGAGGTAGGTAGGTGAGAAAGCAGCATTTTGTAACCAGCGCAGTAATTCTCCTGGTCTGGCAGCCGTCCATCTGCCTTAGCTTAGCATACACAATGGAAGTGAACAGCAGATATAAGCATTTTTGTGCAAAAGTGATTAAAATTACTTAATAATAATACCAATTACTCATTGTGAGCTCAATAATCGTGCAGACAGCAGATGAAAAGTAGAAAGTAACACAAAGAATTGCAGGAGCCAATGAAGACATGGGACTACGTTACGACAAGCACGGCTGTGTGGCACATGGATGTAACACAGCGGTCGGAAAAGCCTCCAGCTTCCGCAAACAAACACACGCTTGGCTGCTATCCAGTCCAGGGGTCTCATTTATCAAACACTGCGTAGAATCCTTACTAAAACGTACTTAAGCTCAGCAAAACAAAAGTACTGACGCCAAGCAGGTGTGTGATCTATCAAACATGGAGGACACACAGCTGCACGCAAGCTCCGCTTCATAAATCAGAGACTATCTAGAATGTTTCTCAGCTGCATTTTAGTCACATCCCGCCCTCGCCACGCCCACTTACTGCCATAAATGGTCAATGCAAAGTGCCTTGTGGATCTCATGCATATACATAAGCCGGCTGTTGCAGCGCTCCGCCAATGACATGGCGGCCGTAGATCAATGCAGATCAAGGAAGCGCTATTACACAGAAGTAGAAGTTGAGGTACCTGCGGGTGAGGCGGAGAAATGAAAGGAAGTGCTTTTGCAAAACAAATAAGAGAAAATCCACGGAGTGGCACAGCGTTGCTGAAGCCGTCAATGCTGACTTCTTCAGAGAGATCTGTGGCGGATATAAAAAAAATGATCCAATCGTGATTCGATCCCCAGACTCCCGGGCTAAAGTCACGCTCGCTAACCAGTCAGCCAAACGGAGATCTCCCCTGTACAAGTAGCCAGGGTCAATCGGGTCACAGTGACAGTACACACACTGTCACAGACGCATGATGTTCTGTCTCAATCTGTCCCCCTGCTGATATTCTGCATTCCGTACTCTGCGCTTCAGGCAGTGTGTGTGTGTGTGTGTGTGTGTGTGTACAAGTGATAACGCTGCAGGATTTCATAACTGTATCTTCTCAGCAGCAGCACTGCAGGTGATCTCCATGTCCAGCATGTGTGTAAGCCAGGTCCTTAGTCAACTTAAAGTTGCGCACATTTTTCTGCTAAGTTTTCTTTCATAAATCCCAAAGTTTGCGTGGAAGGTTGCTTCCGCAGTTTTCCGACCCTGTTTTGTGCGTAAGCTAGCTTGATAAATGAGACCCCTGCACTGTAAGCTGCAGGAACTGTGGAAGGGAGCATGACAGACGAAGATGAGGACTTCTTTGGTTTCCACATTCCAAAACCCTACGAGTTGGAGCCAGAGTTGGCAGAGGAGGAACTGTGTGCGTTAGACATAGACAAGAGTCTGCCGAGACACGCCATTGTGGTGTACAAGACGGTGAGGGCCAAGAGCAGCTGGTGGTGTGAATGTGGAGGGATTAGAAATAGAGCGTCTGTGCCAAGTGGGACAAGGTACGACCTTCAGTGAGTAGCAACTCTCAGGATCATGTCGCTGTCACCGAAGAACAGGAAAAGCCCAGAGTGGACCCAATGCACAACTGTCTACAAAGTAGGCTAACACGATGCATTATTATGCTGCAGTGTAGTATGAATCATTATCTTTTTGTTTTCCCGGGCAGCACAGGCTGGTGAGTGTGGTGTTGTGCTGGAGTGGGCCCTGGAGGAAACAGAACGCCACTGCCACCTTATGTCGCTGCAGCAAAACAACAGAAACATCCACCAGAGTGTGCCGTCTCCATTTGTCTCAAAAGTTACATGAAGCAGTAATTATAATGTAGATAACGGCCTTATTTAGAAATGTCACGTTTATTAGATCTGATCAATAGTTTATACAACCTATATGATGTTTCTGTGCGACTATAATCAATCTCCAAGTTGATGAAAATATCTTCCACTGGATAAGTGACCATTGGTCAAAACACATGCAAACAAAAGCGATTCTCAGCAGACAAAAAAGAGGTTAGCTGTCATTTATATTTCTCGAGGCAAGTTTTTATGTAACCACAACAAAAACATGCATGTGTAACGCTCTTTAATAAAGTCCCAGTGAGAACTTACACGTGTGTGTGTTTATAAGACATCGTGTTTTACTGAAAAGTATCTTTAGGGCTTTTAATGGATGCTGGGGTCTGTCTGAATTTACTGCTAAAGTAATGTGTGTGTGCAAATGCGACGAGAGTCAGAACATCTATGAGAATGAAGAACCTAGCTACAAGGAAAAACTTATTTCATGATCAAAAAATGAAGAAAAAATGAAATGACGAATCTTCGAAGTATTTAGAAACTTTCTCATCAGATAATATGTTAACAGCTGGAATACGCTTTGGAACCTGGAGGAGTGACCTTTCACGACATCGCCCTTGCCGGGGTCTGACACACGACGTTTGCTGCCAGGGGAGGGATCTGCACATGTGAGATCACACCTTCCACAAGCGTGGTGCAGAAATGCTGTGTTGTCTCCGCATAAACAGCTTTTTCATTTTACAACTCGACCAGACCTGTCGGCTGGCTGTTTTGGAAGATCTAATTAACAACATTTCATTACAGGTGTTGCCGTGGCTACAAAGCAAAGTGTGAAAGCTATTCCAGATGTTCACATCACTCGTTTGATTCTTACCAGCTGCTGTTGTTGCGTGTGTACGTGGTTGGGAGTGGTTTTCAATTCAAAGATGCTTTATTAATCCCAGAGGGAAATTAGAGTTTCAGTACACACAATTCTGAGATCAGACATACATACAGGCATAGACGCATGACAAGAATCGGTGACTGTGGTCATTCGCAACCTTGTTTTTCCAAAGCAGGCGAGGTTGTCAGAAAAAAAAGGAAACAGGCTCAGCCCTGGAACTGGAACAACCACCTGTTCACACCCCCATCACCAAAGTCAGCCTCACCAAGTCCAACATTTCTCATCTACATAAATAAATGCTCAGGCACACATTGTTCAACAGTACGTACTCCAGCTGAACAAACAGCAAAGCAAACGCTGCTAATAGGTTTTATAACATTGGTCAGGTTCATAAGCCAGCTGGCTCATCAGTGAGCTGTATTAACGAGGACAGCTGTACATTGTGATTATAGAAATATATGAAGATATTTGTGAAACACTCGTTTATTTACATCACTCCATGAATAATGAACTCAGACGTTCAAACCAAAACAGTGACTTTATTAAAGTTAATGTTAAAATGCCAAAATACTTTTATTACATGATCCTGGGGAGGCTTTCTAACGCTTTATTTGTCCATAAAGTTAAATCCGCCTTTCTTTTTCAACAGAGTGGAAGTGGCTGGAAACAATACACACATTCACCAGCAGATGTCCTCGCAGAGTCCTGAAGCATCAGCCTTGAACCTTTTTCAATACAACTGGATTGAATAGCTTTGTTGGGTCAAAAGGCTTCACATCACCATCACTACCATATGGTTGCACTTCCATCTTTCTTACCTGTTTGGACCACATCGCTACATTAGTCTGACTGATGTGTAAAGCTTTGCGGCTCTTCTTGCAACCCTCACCTTTTTGTGTAAAGAAACTATTTCCTTTCTCAGATTTTATGACTTTTTTCTTCCATGTGGAGCTGTTGCTGACAGCATGAGGAGGGCTGTTCTCTGTTAAGTAATGCCCTTTTGCAGCCACCTGACACCTCTTAAATGAATCATTAGACTCACCTGTGGTTGAATGCCTGTTAATTAGAATTTTGTAGTCTTAAGTGTGGCTTTTCTCCCATTGGGATTTACTCATTATTGCAATGTGGGCTTGAATGGATTTGTCAGGAAAATCACTTTTTGTGTGTGAAAATGAACAAATCAAGTATTTTGTAGTTTGGTATCTCATAGAAGACGTTGATTCTGAAAGGAAACTAAAGGTTTTCCAACAAATGTAGTGGGTGTACTCATTTATAATTGGAAAACTTTTGGGGGAAAACCTGGTCTGATGCGGAGAGACGGCATCCATCCCTGTTTGGATGGAGCAGCTCTTCTTTCTAGGAACATGGCCAGTTTTATTAGTCCTCCATGACAACCCAGGGTCCAGACCAGGAAGCAGAGTCGTAGTTTAACCCACCCCTCTGCAGCTTCTGTACTGTTACCCACCCACTACCCCATAGAGACAGTGTCCTGCCCACGGCCAAAACCACACAGATTAAATATCAGGCTTAATAAAGCAAATCATGGAAATCTCATAAATATTAGAACAAATTCAACTGAGCAGAAAACTAGAAAAATTAAATGTGGGTTATTGAACATTAGATCAATTTTTTTCTAAGACTTTGTTAGTTAATGACTTGATTTGTGATAATCAGATCTCTTTGCTCTCTCTCACAGAATCCTGGCTGCAGCAAGAGGACTATGTTAGCCCCCCCACTCCCCCCCCCCCCCCAGCCCCCACATCGGGGCATGGCTCTATATATATATATATATATATATATATATATATATATATATATATATATCTATACATCAGATGTCAAGCTAAACAGACAGGGTTAAAAAAATTCCCCATCACTTTCATTTTTTAAATAGTAATTAATAAACATTCGATACCATTACAATTTCCTTTGATTTCATTTTAAATAAATATTTAGAGTGCCCAGGTAGCACATAAACAATGCAATTTAACGGTTTTCTTAAAGTAGGAACGTTTAACCTGTGCGGCCAGAGCGCTCTCCTTCCTTCTGCTCTGCGTAAACCTGAGCTGATCACCTACTTGTGCGTAATCAAATGTCTATAGGGGACAAGATATAGCCATGATGTTCACTTTTACCTCAGACCGACTTATTGCTGTTTTATGGTGTGGCTGAATTTGCGATCCGCTGCCACGCGGACTGGAATAACAAAGGCTGCAGTAACATGAGACGTGGTCAGGTTCATGAGGAGTCACTGGCTGGAGCGGACCCGACTCATCCCAGAAGCTAATATCTTAATTTGACCTTGAATGAAAAATAACCTCTTAAAAGTTTTTATCACGGTGGAGGCAGCGTTCATTTCTGCCTTCAGTCTGACAGCGCGCCGGAGTTAAAGCAGCGTGTGCACTTATTGAAGCTGTGTGAGTGTGTGCGCGCGCGGCACAGCCGCTCAAGTCACCGCGTTTCGCGCTATTTAAACCAATGTTGTAAAATTACTTCTGCCCAGCCCAGATGTGCTCTCTTGTGCACCCGTGAGCCGTGGTTCAGCCGGAACGCGTCTGACCTCTGACAGACGCACTCTGAACTTCAGATCTTCAGCGCGCTGTTAATAGCCTGAATGGGAATCATTTCTTGTTATTTAGTTACATCCACGATGTTCTGTGTGTGAGGTTTACAACGTCAGAACACCTGCATGAGACAGGTGTTAATTACAATCTGCCAGAATGACTCACCACCTTCAGATTCCTCCAACACCGTTAAAAATGATCAAATACGGAACATATCGGCGTGCGCAGGCCAGAGTGCTGAAGCTCGGCGCATTGTTATTATGAAGCTAGGGCACATGTGGAGGACACGCGTGCGCAAAAATATACTTGTTTTCAATTACATTTATTGGGCCCACTTACGTTTTCTTTGGCCCACCCACAAATGAGTTTCTGGCTACGCTAATGGTGACATATGACAGACTTCTCTGAGCTCCGCAGCCATTACACTTTTCACCTCGCGCACCCCCTAGCGGCAGCTCGCGCACCCCCAGGGGTGCGCGCACCACACTTTGGGAATCCCTGGTTTAAATCATCATATTGCTCGAAGTACAGGGCGAGGAGGAGGAGTAGCAACCATTTTTCATTCTGACTTATTAATCAATCTCTTACCAATTAATAGCTACAGTCCGTTCGAACATCTTATTCTTCGTCGTCGTCGTCTTCCTCCATTTATCCGGGTCCGGGTCGCGGGGGCAGCATCCCAACTAGGGAGCTCCAGACCGTCCTCTCCCCGGCCACCTCCACCAGCTCCTCCGGTAGGACCCCAAGGCGTTCCCGGACCAGATTGGAGATGTAACCTCTCCAACGTGTCCTGGGTCGACCCGGGGGCCTCCTGCTGGCAGGACATGCCCGAAACACCTCCCCGGGGAGGCGTCCAGGAGGCATCCTGACCAGATGCCCAAACCACCTCAACTGGCTCCTTTCGATCCAGAGGAGCAGCGGTTCTACTCCGAGTCCCTCCCGAATGTCCGAGCTCCTCACCCTATCTCTAAGGCTGAGCCCGGCCACCCTACGGAGGAAACTCATTTCGGCCGCTTGTATCCGCGATCTCGTTCTTTCGGTCATTACCCAAAGCTCATGACCATGGGTGAGGATTGGGACGTAGATCGACCGGTAAATCGAGAGCCTGGCTTTCTGGCTCAGCTCCCTCTTCCCCACGACAGATCGGCTCAGCGTCCGCATCACTGCAGACGCCGAACCAATCCGCCTGTCGATCTCCCGATCCCTCCTACCCTCACTCGTGAACAAGACCCCGAGATACTTAAACTCCTCCACTTAAGGTAGGACCTCTCCCCCGACCCGGAGGTGGCAAGCCACCCTTTTCTGGTCGAGAACCATGGTCTCAGATTTGGAGGTGCTGATCCTCATCCCAGCCGCTTCACATTCGGCCGCGAACCTACCCAGCAAGAGCTGAAGGTCAGAGCTGGATGAAGCTAGGAGGACCACATCATCCGCAAAAAGCAGAGACGAGATTCTCCTGCCACCAAACTCGACACACTCCACACCACGGCTGCGCCTAGAAATTCTGTCCATAAAGGTAATGAACAGAACCGGTGACAAAGGGCAGCCCTGGCGGAGTCCAACCCTCACTGGGAACAGGTCCGACTTACTACCGGCTATGCGGACCAAACTCACGCTCCTCTGGTAAAGGGACTGAATGGCCCTTAACAGAAAGCCACCCACCCCATACTCCTGGAGCGTCCCCCACAGGGTGCCCCTGGGGACTCGGTCATAAGCCTTCTTCAAATCCACAAAACACATGTGGATTGGTTGGGCAAACTCCCATGCCCCCTCCATCACCCTTGCACGGGTATAGAGCTGGTCCACAGTTCCACGGCCAGGACGAAAACCACATTGCTCCTCCTCAATCTGAGATTCAACTATCA